AACAATGATAGCGGTCTCCAGTCCTCACTTACCATCCCACCCACATTCTGAAGATCATTAGCCCCCACCTCTGCCACCTCCAGCGAGATGGTGCCACCACCCCACACACACATTCCTCTCCCCTCCCTGCTCATTCTTCTGCAGGGACCATTCCTTCTGTTCCATTCCTCCCCTCCCAACATTCTCTCCCACCCCCCCCTCATACCTTCCTTTACAATCTTAGAAGGTGCAACACCTGCCCATTTACTTCCTCTCTCCTCACTGTCCAAGGCCCCACACATAATTTCCAGGTGAAGCAGTGCTTTACCTGCACTTAGTTAACTGCATTCCCTGCTCATAGTGTGATCTCCTTGACACTGGGGAGATGAAATGCAGACTGGGCGTTGTTTTGAAGAAGAGTACTTTTCCTCCAGCAACCCGACTAATACTTACCCTTTGGTTAACAACATTGGAATGGATTATCTGATCATTATGCCACTTCTTTTGAGGGAGCTTGCTGTAAGCAAACAATTGTTTGCAGAATACCTATGTTCTGTCCACAAAAAATGACCCTGAGCTTTCAGTTGCATTGCCTACCAATTCAATATACCGTGTTCCCCTCGCCAACATCTCTGTCTCAGGCATGCTGCAGTGTTCCAGCAAGGCTCAGTGCAAGCTGAAAAAACAGCACCTCATTTTCCACTTGGGAGCCTCCAGCCTTCTGGACTCCATATCGAGCTGAATAATTTTAGGGCCTGAATACCATCTTCCATGTCCTTTTTTGTGCACTCTCAAACCTCTGGCCCTTTCATCACATGGGCTGTTTTTCCACAGCCAAATCACTTTCATCCACGAATGGTCACAATTCACAGCTTTTCTTTCTCCCTGGCTCACCATTATGCCTAACATTGTCTCCCTGACTGCTGTTCGTTTTCTCTGGGCTCCATATCCAACTATCGTTCACTTCTTCCCCTTCCCCATCCCCATCTTCATCATATATATCAACCTGGCTACAATCAGTTCTGAAGAAGGGTCACTGGATCTGAAACATTGACTCTGTTGCTCTCCACAGATGCTGCCAGAACCTACTAAGTTTCTCCAGCTATTTCTGCTTTTATTTCATTCCAATTGTTGGTTGTGTTCTACCTTTTGGGGGGGAAAAATAAAACAGATTTACATTTTGAGTTTGTCATTCTCAACCTTGACTGCACGTTGTCTTTAGGATATTTGAATGGATCTGATTTCTGCATTCATGTGTGTTATGAACTAAAGAAAATCTGAAATTTTCTTTAGGCTGAAGATTTATCGGGCTGTTCCTCATTATATCCTGGCTTCAGAACAGGCCGGGGTGCACATTTGTTTGCACTTAAGTTATCTATTAGTTTACTCTTACCAACCTGTGCTCTAAATCTTTGAAAAATATTATGTTACTCCATCCACTCCACGTGGAAGAGTTTGTGTGAAATTGGTTGATTATTTGTTGACTCAAATGTATTTTTTGAGTGCACAATGAAGAATAACACAATGAGGACTATTGTCCAGATTCAGAGGTTTCATGCAAGACTCAACAATGATGTACTGGTCTCTGAGTGAAAATGCTGTGTAGTCCGATGTCAATCTTGAGACATTTAGTCTATGCTGACACTTTGTGCAGAATTGTACTGTATTGATAGTAAGTGCTTTTTTTTTTGAATGATACAATCTGATCTTCTGACCCTGACGTGGACATAAGATACCTGGTCCAGGGATAGGGACACTACCACTGCACCACAAGAGGGCCCCCTCAGACAAGATCTCCCTCTAACAAATCTGAGTTGATAATCCTTGATCAATCCCTACTTTTCCAAAGAATTGATTAATCCTGCCTTTCAGAATTTTCTACTTCCAATTTTTCTCTCTCTTTTCCTCTTACCGTCACCTTCACAGGATTAAAACTTGGACTAAATTCAAAATGCCATTGTGTCCATGGATTCACTAAAATTGAATGCGCTCCTTTCGTTTTTTTTTATGTAAAAGCTGCATTCTTAACTGTGTGAGCAATCTTGAATCTATGAACTAGAACATAGCTGCGTTACAGGCTATAATTTTCCATACAGCCCTATTTAATAGTGTGATTTCTTCAAAATGCATTCTGTCCTAATTATTTTGCCATTAAGTCTTAATAGCATTTGTCATAGTATCACAGTGGAGTAATATCTGTGAATTCTAAAATATCCTACTAATTATTAATATCATTAGTGCTTTCATCAACACCTTTTGCAGCTTCTATGCAGGAGATGCAGTGAGAACAAGCAAAGGGCACAGGTTTCATTTAACTCTGCCCAACTATGCTCTTGTTTTTTCAGCATAGATCCCTTTAAACATATTTATGTATTTTTTGGAAATCTTTGCTTCCATCAGTTTGCTTTGTTGCTTGCAGGATCCTAGTGTGGAATGTGCTCAATGTGCATTTTCAATTTGTCATTCATCACTGTGGTGTAATGTTTGCCTCTAAATTCCCTTTTGAAGGAAAAGTAGCGAGGAGAATTCAACACTGAGCTGCATAAAGAAGTCTTAGGACAGAAAGAGGTAGAGCCACCAGGCTTACAAGACCACATGACTGCTCTCTCTCATTAGAGACAGGTGACTGGCGGTCACCTGAGGTTCATCTTGCCTCAGGTGAGGAGAGAGGTCAACAAGGAGAGTCCTTCATGATAACCTCAGCCAGTGCAGAAATTGAACTGTTGGCATCACTCTGCATATCAAACCAGTTGTCTAGCCCACTGAGCTAAATGACACCAGGATCAAGAAGAGATTTCAAAACGACATTGAGAACTTTAAAACCTGTGTATATTTTGGATGAAGGGCTAATGTCAGTCAGTGAGCTCAGGGGTGAAAGGTATATAGGACTCGGGATAAGGGTAGCACAGTTTTTGATGCAGTCGAGTTGTTGTCAAGTCAAAGACTGTCCAGGAGAACGTTGCATAGTAAAGTCTAGAGATAACAAAGTAAAGTAACTTGATATTGAGTCCAGAAGGCTACAGGGTTCCCAAGTAGAAAATGAGGTGCTGTTCTTCCAGCTAGCACTGAGCTTTGGTGGAGCACTGTAGCAAGCCTGAGACAGAGATATTGGCCAGAGAACACAATAGAACATAGAACATTACAGCGCAGTACAGGCCCTTCGGCCCTCGATGTTGCGCCGACCTGTGAAACCAATCTAAAGCCCATCTAACCTACACTATTCCATTATCATCCATATGTTTATCCAATGACCATTTAAATGCCCTTAAAGTTGGCGAGTCTACTACTGTTGCAGGCAGGGCATTCCACGCCCTTACTACTCTCTGAGTAAAGAACCTACCTCTGACATCTGTCCTATATCTATCACCCCTCAATTTAAAGCTAGTCCCCTCGTGCTAGCATCACCATCCGAGGAAAAAGGCTCTCACTGTCCACCCTATCTAATCCTCTGATCATCTTGTATGTCTCAATTAAGTCACCTCTTAACCTTCTTCTCTCTAACGAAAACAGCCTCAAGTCCCTCAGCCTTTCCAATGGTGCATTGAAGTGGCAGGCAACTGGAAACTTGTGGTCTTTTTTGCAGACAGAATGTTGGTGTTCTGCAAAGCGGTACCCAATGTTTCCCCAGTGTAGAGGCGACCACATTGTGAACAGTGAATTCAGTAAACGGGATTGAATGAAGTGCAGACAAATTGCTGCTTCACCTGGGAGGTGTGTTTGGGGCCTTGGGTAGAGAGGAGATGGGAAAGAAACAGCCAAGTGTTACACCTTCTGTAGTTGCAGGGGAAGGTGCCATGGAGTGTGGGGAGATATTAGGAGCGGACCAAAGTGTCCCGATGGGAACAATTCCTGCAGAGGCTGACAAGGGAGTGGAAGCAGATATGTGTCTGGTGGTGGCGGAAATAGTAGCTAATATCCTTTGGATGTGGATTCTGGTGGGATGGTAAGTGAAGACGAGGGGGTCCCTATTGGTGTTGTGGGAGGGAAGAGAGGGCATGAGGGCCGAAGTGTGGGAGATGGATCGGACGGAGGGTCCTGTCAACCACTGTTGTGGCGAATTCTCGGTTGAGGAAGAAGTTGGACATTTTGAAGGTCCCCTTGTCATAGTTAACATTATTGGAACAGATGCAATAGACATAGAGTAACTGGGTGAATGGAAGAGAGTCTTTACAAAAGCAGGGTTTGAGGATGTATAGTCAAGTTAACTATGAAAGTCAGAGGGTTTTTAGTGGCAACAAGGTGCAGGGCTGGATGAACACAGCAGGCCAAGTAGCATCATAGGAGCAGAAAGGCTGACGTTTCGGGCCTAGACCCTTCAGTGGTTTTTGATGGCCAGGCTATCCCCAGAAATGGAAACAGATGTCGAGGAAGAGAAGGGAAGTGAACCAAGTGAAGGGGAGAGCTTGGTGGAAATTGAAAGCGAATCAGATAAACTTATCCAATTCCAGATGAGAGAGGGGAGCAGCACTGATGATGGTGGCTTAGAGAGTTTCGTGAAGAGAGTTTGGACAAACTGGGGTTGTTTCCTTATAGCAGAGGGGACATGATTGAGATGTATAAATTTATGAGGAACATAGATAGGGAAAACAGGAAGAACCTTTGGCCATTGATGGAGGGATTACTGATTAAGGGATATATATTTAAATTAAGGGGCAGAAGGTTTTGAGGAGATGTGAGAAAAAAACTTTCTTTTTCTCCCAGAGAGTGGGGAGTATCTGGAACTCATTGTCTGGAAGAGTAGTAGAGGCAGAAATCCTCATAACATTTAAGAAGCATTTGGATGTGTATTTGTAGTAGCAAGGCATACAAGGCTGTGGACCAACTGCTGGAGAATGGGATTCAAATAATTAGGAGTTTGTTTTTGGCTGGTGCAGAGATGATGGGCCAAAGGGCCTGTGCTGTAGATATGTATGAAATGAACGTGTTTTAATCTAATGAATTATTTAAATCAGAATTCTTGAGACAGAAGAATCTGTTGAATTACTTCTAACATCTCTCTTGACTTGCCTTTTTTCTTCCAGTTATTTTCAAAGGTCTATTCCTTTGACTTCCATTCGACACTGCAAAAATGTCATATGGAGCTATCGATGGCAGCAGCTTCAGTGGACGGAACCCATTTGGAGGACCTTCAAGGCAAGGATATCAGCCTTTAGGTAAATCTCTTATTTTGATAGCCTTTCCGCAATATTTCTTGGACTCTTTTCTGGTTGACAATCAAACTGATGTGACTCATGCATTTGGTGTTCATCTGCAAAGTCTGGAGCATGGGCAGGTTATCAGAGCCAGAATGTTCAGCCGGTTCAACCAGGAAGCAAATTGCTCTTAAAGAACAGGAATTTTGCTTCTTGGTTGTTATCTGTATGATCGTCACACAGACTCCTTTCTAACCTTTAGACTTCTGTAAAATTTTGTCAATTTGCAGGATTTGTTTAATTGAGTGCATGGTCAATCTAGTGAGCAGGCTCCCCTGCAAACTGATGGAAACACATAGCTGATGCTGATGCACAAACTTGAAATTAGATAAAATATTTTAAGATAATGTTTTAGCTTTGAGTTTGTTTAATTTTGAGACATGATACACGGTAGATGTAGCATACTGAGGAGGACCTCTGGAAATGTATTTTATAAAATCCAAAACTACCTCCCTTTCTCAGGAGTAACTGTGTTTTTACATTCCACTTCAAGTAAAACTTGTGAAATATTTTTCAAATATAAACTTTAAAAGTTTCTTTGAAACTGTGTTTTTCCCCTAAGTCTCCCTGACCCCAAAATTTCAGAATCTGAAAAGCTAAAGCAGTGTGCTGTATTTTACAAGAAATCTCCATGGCTACAGAAATACTTCCGAATTAATCATTGAGTGCCTTCAGATACATGGGAATTCCATATGCCTCTTGTTCAAAATCCAAAATAAATGATATAGAGCAACCTTCATCAGCAACCATTTGCTAAAGGGTATGAATCACCTCGGAAATACCATGTCACTGGTCATGGGTCCTGTGGGTACTTGTGTGACTGATGATCCTGATCCTAGAACCACAGCATCCACCATACATTTGTTCCTGTTTCCAGGGGGTGGAATAGATCTTGGCCTTGAGATTGCTAGCACTCCTTTCTCCCATTCCCTTTGTACTTCCTCTTTCCGGTGGATGCTCTCGAAGAATTGCCTCCCTCACACAGGAGGTCCTTTCACGTTCATTTCTTTTGAGTGAAAATCTCCCAGGCGTTGATGTCTGTGTTGCATTTTTTTTGAGTTAAGCCTTAAGAGTGTATTTGAAATGCTTCCTTGTTGGTCCTCTTTTTTTTTGAGCGTGTGGTAGACACCTTATATAGGGCATCCTTAATGTGGGAATGGACATAGAAGACTCCATTCTTGACAGAAGGTTGATCCAGTTTTAGTGGCAAGGAAACCTCAATGACTGGGGATCTCCTTTGTTGCTGTAACCCATTATTTTCTGCTTGAATCGCTGTTGAGGACTTGTTTGGATTGTGCATTGCCTTGTTCCCCCCCACCTGACCTCACCATCATGGGTGACCCTGTCAGCATCACTGGAAGCCTCAAGCCTCTCCAGCACAGCAAGATGGCAATGTATAAATTGTATATCCCATATCACACTGGGGAACGGAGTTTAGAGTGGACATCATTGAGAAGACTGGAGCCGTTTGTTTTCAAATATTAAACTTGGAAATTTCCAATAAACTTAGAAATTTTGCTCATTTGGAACTGAATGTTCGATAAGGTTAATAATTCTGTAATAGCGGAGGAGTTGAGAGAGATTCTGGTGAGACCCAAAGAATATGAGAAGAGCTAAACCAGGGTAACCAGATGGACATGCTTCTGTAGCCCAGAATTATAGCAGAAGGAAAATATATCCTCAACAACAGAGTTGACAGCTCAAGATGCAAATTCTCTCTCAGAACCCCTGGTAAACCCGTCTAACGTTACCAGCAGTTATCGCTCAAAGGTTGTTTGGAATCTATGATTCGTATCTGATATTGCTAAAGTTAAGGCCAAAGTGTGACAGAGTTCCTAATGGACAGATTAAGATCTGTTCCTCAAATTTGTACTGAGCTCCATTAGAATGGGGTGGGAGGGATTTAAATCAAAATAAGATTTCTATCAAAAATTCTGGTGTCTTTGAGATGAAGAGTATTTAGTATTGCATGTGCATTTCCTTCAAAGTTAGGCTTTGTAAAGTTAAGAGGATTTCAATTCTGAGTCAGAAATGCTTTACTTCTATCCTGCATCCTTTGTGTTGAAATGGATGCCCATTATTCTACTCCAGCCTCCTCTTGTTCTTTTCTGCTTAATATGGTGCCAAGGTATGTATTTTGGAAAGTATTTTCTTAATTTGGAGTCTATTATAGATTGTGTTATCTTCCTGAGTCTTCTATTCATCATGTTCTGCACTTGGATATTTCCTTTGAACTTCAGTGACCAGCAAAGAAGTTAGCAATCAAGTCATGCCTACATCAGAGGCACTCCATCATTCCAACATATCTGCTTTAGATTTGTCCTTTTATAGGTTCCACAAAATAGCTCAGCATTCTGTTCACTTCATTGTTGTCCTATATCAACAGGGGATGTTGAATCTATAATCCTTATCTCATTTAGCCTTTTCGCCAGTTAGATACTGTTCTTTAAGGGTACCGCACATCTTTTTTTCCATTGTGTAAATTTTTAAACCTTTCCATTGTCCTCTTTCTATAAGCAGCAGTTCACACTTTTAGATTTCATTTGGTATGCTCTGTCCCAATGCAGTTTTAAATCTACATTCTTCTGTGGCTTGATTCTGGACTGTCATTCTCTATCTCTCCTTTGTCCACATATCCTTGACTTAGTATCATCTGAAAACATAATCAAATTTCTTACAGTAATTGACTGCAACATATCAGGCGTGACTTATTTGCTGGCCATCTCACCTGAGTTAAAGTTGTGAGTGCGACTCCCACTAAAGAAACTTGAGCTCAAAAATGAAGACTAACAATCCAGTACAGTACTGAGATAGAATGACACTGCCATAAGTGCTGTTTTTGGTTGAGGGGTTAAATCAGCATCCCCTCTATGTTCTCATTTGGATCTGATAGATTCCATGGTAGTAATTCGGAGGTTAGGTCAGTTGGATAGGTGGCTGGTTTGCGATGCAGAGTGACACCAACAGCACAAGGTCATTTATAGCACTGGCTGAGGTTACTATGAAGGTTCTACCTTCTCAACCCCATCTCTCACCTGAGGCATGGTAATCCCAGGTTAAACTCAGTACCAGTCACGTCTCACGCAAACACTCTCTCTCACGTGTCCACACTCTCACTCTTCATGATGCTGTCTGCAGGGCACCTTTTCCACTCTTCTCATCTTTAGATGCAGTCCCAGCAGTCAAGTAGGTATAGACCAAACCCGCTACTTGGAGCAAGCTCACCATGAATTTTACACTGCGTAGTGGAGGGTTGTGGTCACTCGGAGATTTAGTTGGTATGTAAAATCCAGCCCAATGAATCCAGTCAATGACATTTCATTATGTTTTCTCCTGCATAGGGCATCTTTCAAGTCATTGGCTCAGCTGTCCTAGATGTTGCACGGGCTATCACCGACTTCTGCTAGAAGATTCCGGGGTCATAGTTAGTACTGACTTATTGGTAATCAAATAAACTTCTCCCTCCAATTTACTATTTAGTGACCCAAGTTATTTAATGTAGATCTGGGAGAGGACAGAAACATGTTTATCTGTGCTTGTCCTCTACATCAGTGTCCTAGCATGCATTGGGGGAGGCATAGACCTGAAGATTGATTGATTGGCTGGGGTACCTGGCAGCAATTGGTGCTTTAAGAACCATATCCAAGCATTGATGTCCTGAACAGAGTCTACATTACATAACAGGAGGTGCTGGAGGTCTTAAAATACATAAATGTAGGTAAATCCCCAGGAATGGAAAAGCTGCCAGAGAAGGTGGTGGAAGCAGGTACAATTACAACACTTAAAAGGTATCTGGACTGGTACATGAATAGGAGGGGTTTAGAGAGATATGGTCCAAATGCTGGCAACTGGGACTAGACTAGTTTAGGATATCTGGTTGGCTTGGATGAGTTGGACTGAAGGGTCTGTTTTCATGCTGTATAACTCTATGACTCTCCCAGTTACTGTCTTCAGAACAGGAAGTGTGTTAATTATTGGAAACCTATACAGATGATTTATATAGATGGCAGCAAATGGACAATGTTATATTGACTCACCTGACAAACCAACTTTAGTCTGTGCAGTGATGTAAGAATATTTTTATCGCAGTGATTTAAAGTCAAGGTCAATGTGTTAGAATTTCACAACCATTTACAAAAGAGGGATATCAAATGTCTTAGTATTCTTGCTTACTGCTCTCGAGCCTGTAAGTTGAGCTCTCCAAGGGGACTGGGATTATGTGAATCTCAGTTCCTTCCTATTCACAGGGCAGGCAATATCTAGGGCTGTAACTCTACTGTTTCCCCACTTGTGTATATACAAACAGTACGTAAGCACTATTATTGTTTTTTATCCCAGAAAAATTCCTGTTTTAGAGTTAACTCTGGATTGTTAAGAATTGGTGAATTACATTACCTCACTTGCGAAAGGTTAATTTGACAATGTTTGGAAATGCTGCTTTGATCTTGGACCAGTTGAACTTTTATGCTTTTTTTTTCCTCAGAAGAACTGACATTTCTTAAATTTCTACAAAGGACAACATCACAGAAGGAGTCTGACCTATTTTTGCCTTTGCTTCTTGCTGGAGTAATCCAAAACAGATTTCTAATCCGTAAGGGAATCAATGGTTATGGGCCAAAGGCTAGACAATGGAGTTAAACTTTAAGACAGCAGCAATAATCTCATTGAATTATGGAGGAGACTCAGTGGGCTAAGTGGCCAATTGTGCCCCTATATCTTATGGTTTTTCCAAACTAATCATACTGCCTTGCTTTCCCTACACTACTTCTTCTGCTTCAATAGCTTATCAAGATGCAATAGTCTTTGCCGCAGTTACCTGTGTATATATACATTACGGAAAGGATCAGTAATGAGTAAAATCACACATATGAAATGTGACACACGATGGGTTGAAGTTTAGTTCTTTGGTTCCAATTCCACTGCTGTGGCTAAGGAACCCACAAGGAGTTTATGCAGAACCC